GTGGGGGGGGAAATCGGTCAGGCTGGAGTCCCTCAAGCGTTGGAATGGGGAGGGGGTGGCGTGGTGTGAGCGGGGGGTGCAGGCGTTGCTGACAGCCGTGGGGGCCTTCGCTGCCTTCGGCCTCATGACCATCGCCATCGGCACCGACTACTGGCTGTACGCCAGGGCCTTCATCTGCAACACCAGCAACGCCTCCGGGGGGGGGGAAGAGGGGGGACATCGAGACCGAAGGGACCCCGGGGGGCTCACCCACTCCGGACTATGGAGGATCTGCTGCTTGGAAGGTAATGGGGTTGGGTGGGGGTGGGGGGAAAGTCGTGGCACTGTGATGGGGAAGATCGCAGCATGGCTGGGAAGGTCGTGGCACCGCCATAGGGAGGCTCACAGCATGAGAGGGAAGCTCACGGCACTGTTGTGGGGAAGCTCACAGCATGAGAAGGAAGGTCGTGGCACTGTCGTGGGGAAGCTCACAGCATGAGAAGGAAGGTTGTGGCACTGTCGTGGGGAAGCTCACAGCATGAGAAGGAAGGTTGTGGCACTGTCGTGGGAAAGCTCACAGCATGAGAAGGAAGGTTGTGGCACTGTGGTGGGGAAGCTCACAGCATTGTAATGTTATAGGGAAGGCCATGGCACTGTTACGGGGAAGCTCACAGCATGGCTGGGAAGGTCGTGGCACTGTGGTGGGGAAGCTCACAGCATGAGAGGGAAGGTCGTGGCACTGTCATGGGGAAGCTCACAGCATTGTAATGCTATAGGGAAGGCCATGGCACTGCCGTGGGGAAGCTCACAGCATGGTGATGCCATAGGGGTGGCTGTGGCACTGTTTGGGGAAGCTCACAGCACAGCGCTGCTATAGGGAAAAGCCCACGGTGCCCCTCTGACGTCCCCACGGCGGTGTCCCCATCCCTCTGACGTCCCCACAGCGACCCCACAGCGACCCCACAGCGACCCCGTGACGTCCCCTGTCCTCTTCGCGGCCCCATAACGGTGTCCCCCATCCCCGCGGTGTCCCCAACCCTTTAATGACCCCATAATGTCCCCAACCCCACAGAGTCCTCCATCCCCATGGAGTCCCCACCCCATTGATGTCCCCATGATGTCCCCAACCCCACACAGTCCTCCATCCCACAGAGGAGCCCCCATGGTGTCCCTTTGATGTCCCCA